CTGCTCCTCCCATAACCCCTTCTCCTGTCCTGCCCCCCCAGGTCGCACTGTCTCTCCCTGTGTCTCTGGCCCGGGAGCTCCTGTGCTCCCTCTCTCCACCCCTTCACAAGGGGCTCCCCTCCCAGTGAAGATGCCAAAGTGTCTGATGCCTGTATCCATGGAGGGGACCAGGATGGGACTTACTCACCTGGGATCAGGAGCTCCAGGGCATCACTTGGGTGTGACCACACCTGGGGGCTGTTCCTGTGATAGCCATAGCATCTGAATGTCCCCCTGCGGGTTACGGGGCCCAAAGAGAACAGGGCCTGGGACCGGCCACTGGGGTGTGGTTCTGAGTCCTGGGTCCAGGAGAGCCTGTGATCTCCTTCCTTAGTCAGAATGAACCTATCAAATCCCTGCACTGAGCCACAGTGGAAGGTTATGTTCCCTCCTGATTGTACGACAGGGCTGGGCAGGGCTGAGAGCCTGGGTTTGCTGTAGAATCCTAGGAGAGGGGGAGGCAACTTGTTAAATAGGTTCACTCTTCCCTCATGTCCTTCAGGGCTGGGTTCTGAGAAGGAGACACCCTGAGAGCAGACTCCCTTCCTGAGGGCAGAGCCAGATGCTGGGACCCCTGAGAGTCCTCTCACCTGTTGCCACCAGCTCCAGGGGGTCACTGGGCTCTGACCAGCCAGTGGGGCTGTTAGAAGAACAGGAGTATCTCCCTGCATCGTGCTCTGTGATGTGTGTGATGGAGAACTTGCCCCTGGTTGTGGACTTCCTTTCAGTCTGTGTGTTCCAAAGCACACGTTTTCCTTCCTTATACAGATCAAACTTCTGGGCCTCCAGGGTCCCCTCACACCAGAGGGTCACAGGGCTCCCATAAGGGATCACAGGGCCTGGTTCAGCCCAGAGGGTGGGTTTGGGGAGGGTCCCTGGAAGCAAATCAGAAGCTGTATTACACAGACCTTCCCCCCCTCATCCCCCAGCTCATCCCAGGACCTCTGTGCTCCATCCTGAGCCCCACGGGTGAAGTACCAGCTGGGACCTGGAGCCTGGGGAGGACTCACCTGCCTGCACGTGGATCCTCTGGCCCAGACTCAGCCCTGGAAGAGAGTTTCTGTGAGAGATTTGCATCTGGACGTCTGAGCTGATTCTCCTCCAATCAGGGCCCCGTCCACTCGAGCTGCCTGAGCCTGAGGTTCCCCATGAACAAGGGGGTGCCGCCACCCCTCCTGGTGCCCCTCCCCGTGTCCACAACTGACCGAGGCAGAGAAGAGTAGAGAGGATCGACATCATGGCGTCTTCTCTCAGGGCTCCTGCTGTGCAAATGTAGGACACTTAGGGTCGGAAAAACAGAGACGCACAGGATGTGGTGGGTCAGAAGCTGTTGCAGCCCTTCCGGGTCCGCAAGCTGTGCACCCACTGCCTGCGGACTCTCCCGCCCTGGGCCTGGCTCTGAGTTTCCCCAAACTGAGGGCTCAGGAGGAGAGAAGGCTCTCAGGGGGCAGGTGCCCGATCCCTCCCGGGCACTGCAGGGATCATTTCCTTAGTTGGTCTGGCCTTTGGATTCTGTGACGACAACTTTGAATGGACTTTGCAGTGTCAGGTTGGTGCTGTTTAATGGACTTTGCAGTGTCAGGTTGGTGCTGTTTCATCAGGAAACAGTCTCAACTCACAGTGGACGTTTTTAGAGCAGAGGTGTTAGTCATTTATTCTGCAGTCGGTAACATGAAGGTCAAAAATGGAACTGCCGATGGACCCAGCAGATCCCACTTGTGGAAATCTATCCTCAGAACCCGAAACTTCAATCAGAAAGAAGGTATGCTCCCCTGTGTTCATAGCAGCACAATTTACTATAGCTAAGACCTGCTAACAGCCCAGACGCCCAGCTGTGCGTAAGTGGATAAAACAGATGTGGTACATTTACACCATGGAGTACTATGTAGCTATAAAAAAGGAAGGATCTCTTACCTTTTGAGACATCGTGGAGGGACCTGCAGAGTATTATGCCGAGTGAAATAAGCCAGTCAGAGAAAGACAAATATTGCAGGATTTCACTTATATGTGGACTCTAATGAACAATATAACTTGATCAAAAAAATAAGTCCAGAGGTATGCTGCATGGAACAACTGGACAGATCTCAGGGACAGTAGGGGGGCAGAAAAAGATTAACTAAAGAACTTACCTGCATATATGCATAGCTCAAAGCCATAGATATTAGTGTGCAGAAGGCCTGCAGTGGGATGTGTGCTGCGTGGAGGAGGGATATAGGCAGAGATGAAGATCATCTGTAATAACGTCAATAATATTACAAACGATACAGTATTATCTTGAAGGGGAAGGCTATCTATATATATAAAAGCCTAAGCGACCAAAAGACTGGTTGATCGTTTGCACACAGACCACCAGGGGGCAGACACTAAATGCAGAAGCTGCCCTCTAGTGGTCAGTGTGCTCTCACAGCTGGAGCACCGTTCAGCTGACCTAAGTGAGCCAGACCCGGGCTCACTGCTGGCGAGCACAGCTGCAGTGCTGCAAGCCTCTCCCACCTCTGCGGCGGCACTACTGAATGGTGGTGGCAGGCGCTGCAGGGCTGGGCAGGATGAGCATGAATGGCGTGGCACCCAGCCCAGGCTTGGGCTCCTCTTCTCCCACCTGCTGCTTTGTGCACTACTATATCCCTCAGGGGGGTGTCAGACTGCCGGTTTCGGTCCAATCTCTCAGCCTGTCCTGCAGGGATTGGGCCAAACATGCAGTGTGACATCCCCTGAGGGGTCCTGGATTGGGAGAGGGTGCAGGCCAGGCTGAGGGATCCCACATGTGCATGAATCCGTGCATCGGGCCTCTAGTATAGAAAGAAAATAAGAATGCTCATGACGACATTATGGGAGACATACCAAGACAGGAAGAGAAACAGATTGACAGAGTGACAGATGTCGGAGGAGAGGAGAGTGGGGCGGTGTGGGGGGGCTTGATGCAGAATGTGAAGTGATTCACCTAAGAACATATATGCACAGCCCAAGAACACAGACAAAAGAGTAGTGAGGGCCAAGGGAGGGGAAGGTGGGGTGGGTGGCAGTGAGCAAATGGGAGAAATGGGGGACATCTATAACAGAGTCAACAATAAAAGTCCTATATAATAAAGAGCTAATATGCAAATGGTCATCACGCCCTCACACCCTTGCGCCCTCATGCCAGGGCCAGGTGACCTGAGGCTCGGCCGGGGGACCTGAGGCTGGGCCCCCCTCCCAGCGGGGATTGACGGGAGTGGGGCTGGCCAGGTCTGGGTCTCCCGTGATTTCTAGGCACGTGTGGGTGGGGGGGGGGTACTTGACTCTGGGTCCTGTAGCACACCCCAGACTCTGACAGGAGGGAGACTTTCATATACATTTTACTAATTTTCTTTCATCTTGGACACTTCTATTATAGAGAATGGGCAAATAGCAATATTAAAATATTTCCTCTAATTAATTCCCTTTTAATGTGCATGAATTTCATGCACTGGGCCACTCATTAAATATATTTAATGATTTTGTTGTTTAGATTCCACATTTAAGTGATTTTACGTGAAGCCAGTCTTACTCTGGCTTATTTCACTTAGCATACAAACCTGCTGGCCCATCCATGCTGTGGCAGAAGGTAGGACTTCCTTGTTTCTCACAGCCTAGTAGTACTCCATTGTGTAAACGTACCACAGCTATTTAATCACTCATCTACTGATGCTCACGTGGCTACTTCCACATCTTGGCTGTTGTAAATAATGCAACAATGAACATAGGGGATGCATATATTCTTTCAAATGAGTGTTTCAGGTTTCTTTGATGATATCCCCAGAAGTGGAATTACGGGGTTGAATGGCAGTTCCATTTTTTTACTTTTTGAGAAACCTCCATACTGCTTTCCACAGTGGCTGCACCCGGCTGCATTCCCAGTAGCAGTGCCCGAGGGCTCCCTCTTCTCCACATCCAGCACTTGCATTTCCCTGATGATTACTGGCTTTGTGAATATACAGCAGAGTGAGGGCAGGCTCTGCAATAAATGATGCTGGGAAAATTGGACAGGTACATGCAAAATAGAAATAGAGAAAGGAAGAAAGGAAGGAAGGAAGGAAGGAAGGAAGGAAGGAAGGAAGGAAGGAAGGAAGGAGGGAATGAAGGAAGGAAGGAAAGAAGAAAGGAAGGAAATTTACCACCTGCTTACACCATACACAAGAGTACACTCAAAATGGATAAAAGACTTCAATGTAAGTCACAAAGCCATAAAATTCCCAGGAGAGTGACACATCATGTGCTGTCACCTCAGAAGCAGGCAATAATTTCAGAAATACTAAGTCCATATTCAGCTCCTGTCGACCTGCACTTCTGGAGACTGAGGACTTGGGGACCAGGGTGCTTCTGAGGAAGAGGAGGCAGGGCTGAGCCAAGCGGAGAAGGACACAGGATGTTGGAGGCAGGGTCCTCACAAGGTGTTTGCCTCACAGGAAGGCGACACCTTCTCACTCTAAAAATAGCAGGTGCTGAGGGTCTGACTGGAACCACATTTCCAAACAGCCTACATGTATTTGTTTTTTTATAGAATTTTTTATTTACTGGGGTGACATTGGTCAATAAAATTATACAGGTTTCACATATATGATTCTACACTACATCATCTGTACATGGTATTGCGTACTTATCACCCTAAGTCTAGTCTATTTCCACACAACTTACCCCATCTTTACCTCCGCCCACCGCACCCTTCCCTCTGGCAGTCACCATAGTATTGTCTGTGTCCATGAGTCTTTCTTTTATTTCTTTGCTTAATCCATTTGCCCTTCCCCCCAGCCCACAACCACCTCTCCTCTGACAGCTGTCAGTCTGTTCTCTGTATACATGAGTCTCTCTCCACTATGTATTTTTTTCTGTTTATTGTGTTTATTAGATTAAAAATATGAGTGAAATCTTAGGAAACTAGTCTTTTTCCAACTGACTTATTTCACTTGACATAATGCTCTCCAGGTCCATCCATGCTGTCGCCAAAGGTAAGAGTTCCCTCTCTATTTTACAGCTGCACAATATTCCATTGTGTAAATATACCATAGCTTTCATCTGCTGGTGGGCACTTGGGCTGTTTTCAGATCTTGGCTTTTGTAAATAAGGCTGCTGGGATCATAGAGGGGCATAGATACTTGTGGATTTATTGATGATAAGCCATTCCGAAAGGTGTGTGGTTTGGATTGGCGTCTCTCTGATGATTAGTGATGTTGAGCATCTGTTCATATGTCTACTGGCCATCGATGTGACCTCTTTGGAGAAGTGTCTATCTAGGTCCTCTGCCCAATATTTTTTATTGAATTGTTTGGGGGGGTTTGGTGCTGAGCTTTATAAGTTCCTTATACATGTTGGACAATAAGCCCTTATCAGATGTATTGGCAAATAGCTCTCCATTCGGTGGGTTGTCTTTTCATTTTGTTGATGGTTTCCTTTGCTGTGCAAAAACGTATCATTTCCTCCTTATGCCTTCATTTAGAAAAAAATTCATATTGTTTAACTAATCATTTTTTAATTGACCATTTTTTTATTAAACCACAGTTGTCATACTATATCATATGCGTTTCAGTTGTACAACACGAATATGATATTAATTATTGACTATCTTCCCTTCCCCTTCTTACCGATCCTTCCTTCCTTCCCGTCCGGCAACCATCAGTTTGTTATTCATTTCTTTTTTTTTTTTGCCTGTAATAAAAGCTTATTTATTATTTGTACTTTTATATTATTTTTTTTTATTTTTTATTGCTTAAAGCATTACAAAGGGTATTACATATGTGTCCTTTTTTTCCCCGCCCTTGACAGTACCCCGGCTTCCCCTACCCCCCAGTGTCTTATGTCCATTGGTTATGCTCATATGCATGCATACAAGTCCTTCGGTTGATCTCTTAACCCCCTCCCTCCTGCCCCCCAACCCTCCCCAGCCTTCCCGCTGCAGTTTGACAATCTGTGTGAAGCAGCTCTGCCTCTGTATCTATTATTGTTCAAAAGTTTATAATGGTCTCTATTATCCATGATGAGTGAGATCATGTGGTATTTTTCCTTCATTGACTGGCTTATTTCACTTAGCATAATGCTCTCCAGCTCCATCCATGCCGTTGCAAATTGTAAGAGTTCCTTCTTTTTTACAGCAGCATAGTATTCCATCGTGTAGATGTACCACAGTTTTCTAATCCATTCATCTACTGATGGGCACTTAGGCTGTTGCCAGATCTTAGCTATGGTGAATTGTGCTGCTATGAACATATGGGTGCATATATCCTTTC